GGCTCCCTTCTCCTCTCTCTCACTATGGCCCAATAAGGCCCATATACTTCCCGGGGGGTTCCGGTAACCTCTCGGTACTCCGGTATATGCCCGAACTCACCCGGAACCATTCCGATGTCCAAACATAGTCATCCAATATATCGAGCTTTATGTCTCGACCATTTTGAGACTCCTCGTCATGTCCGTGATCATATCCGGGACTCCGAACAACCTTCGGTACATCAAAACACATAAACTCATAATATTGATCGTCACCGAACGTTAAGCGTGCGGACCCTACGGGTTCAAGAACTATGTAGACATGACTGAGACTCATCTCCGGTCAATAACCAATAGCGGAACCTGGATGCTCATATTGGTTCCTACATATTCTACGAAGATCTTTATCGGTCAAACCGCATAACAACATACGTTGTTCCCTTTGTCATCGGTATGTTACTTGCCCGAGATTCGATCGTCGGTATCATCATACCTAGTTCAATCTCGTTACCGGCAAGTCTCTTTACTCGTTCCGTAATGCTACATCCCATAACTAACTCATTAGTCACATTGCTTGCAAGGCTTATAGTGATGTGCATTACCGAGAGGGCCTAGAGATACCTCTCCGATACACGGAGTGACAAATCCTAATCTCGATATATGCCAACTCAACAAACACCATCGGAGACACCTATAGAGCATCTTTATAGTCACCCAGTTATGTTGTGACGTTTAATAGCACATTAAGTGTTCTTCCGGTATTCGGGAGTTGCATAACCTCATAGTCATAGGAACATGTATAAGTTATGGAGAAAGCAATAACAGTAAACTAAACGATCATAGTGCTAAGCTAATGGATGGGTCAAGTCAATCACATCGTTCTCTAATGATGTGATCCCGTTTATCAAATGACAACTCTTTATCCATGGCTAGGAAACTTAACCATCTTTGATCAACGAGCTAGTCTAGTAGAGGCATACTAGTGACACTTTGTTTGTCTATGTATTCACACATGCACTAAGTTTCCGGTTAATACAATTCTAGTATGAATAATAAACATTTATCATGATATAAGGAAATATAAATAACAACTTTATTATTGCCTCTAGGGCATATTTCCTTCAATCTCCCACTTGCACTAGAGTCAATAATCTAGTTCACATCGCCGTGTGATTTAACACCAATAGTTCACATCACCATGTGATTAACACCCATAGTTCACATCGCCATGTGACCAACACCAAAAGGGTACTAAGGTGTGATCAGTGGCGGAGATAGAACTTTTGTGGAGTCTGGGCAAGTTGAGACTAAGTGTATAATCTGGAAATGAACAATCGGATATTCCGATACATAACATATAATATACCACCAGACTACCGAATCACAAATCTGCATTAATAATGAAGTGAAAACATAACCATAGTTCTCACACAAAATTTATTTTTAAAGCAAGCTAATATATCAATATCCGCTTAATAGACCAAATAAAGTTGAGACATGACAACAAAAGATACATAACCAACCTTGCATAGACGCAAACTCACCATGTTGCCAACAAAATTAAAGCTTTCCATACCATATGTCACCAGATGTGATTGTGCAATTTCTTCCACCACGGTCAAAAGCATCTCTCACTTGTTCATTTTTGCCAAAAGAAAAACATACAATGAGTCTTGCATAGAGGCAAACTCGCCATGTTTCTAAAGTCCTAGAAGGCACTACAATATAAAAAAATCGCAACTAAAATAAATTAAGTTGTGAGATGTGAATATATTCAACATGGAAAGCTTGCAAGAATAGAGGTGGTCAGAAGGAACATACCGACGGTGCACTAAAGAAAATCACGAGTCAAATGCCCCTTCCGAGAGCTCATTGCAGTAAACTTCCAAATCCAGTACAAGGAAATTTAGCCAAATCTGGTTGCATTGGGCCCTTCAATACATATGATGTTCTCACTTTGTCTTGAATATTAGGAGGATACTCAAATTTTGTTTCTTATTTCCTGGATCACGCTCAGTCTCATTTGGATTAAAGTCATTGGTAATGTTACGAGGTGGTTGTGCCTCCACTTCTATTTCCGGTTGCACATCATTAACATTTCACATTTTCAATGCTTGCTTGACCTCATATCTGAAATTTAATGATGAAGTTTGAAGTTAGTTGTTAAACATGAAAGTAATAAATGAGCTACAACAAGTAACAAGTTCATAGTATGGAACTACTTGCATCAAAGAAATATTGTATTCTGAGTAAGCAACTAGAAAGTAATAAATACTGCATGAATACAAGTTGCCCTCTTCTTATATACTTCGATTTTCTAGTTTCCAGCAGCCAACAAAGACAATGTATCTCTAGTCACGAATTCGTAATCGTTACCAATGAAAAATTCCCTACATTTAAGATAGGGTTCAACAAACACGACAAACAAAGTTCTCAAATACAAATCAGATGTACAAAGCAGTTGCTAATTATTTAGTTCCACCACAGATTAATTGACCTAAAAATAAATACTTATACATGAGAAAAATCATATGAGGATCAATACTTTCGGAGGCCCTGACCTGAAAATAAGCACAGAGTAATCTG